AATTTATTGATTTTCTTTTTCGTGCAATCATGTCCAAAGTCTATATTTACATAGTCATATATAAGACAACTTCTTGTTTTTGTCACGGATTGGATAAAGCGACCCTGTTTAAGCTCCAGAAACATTTCTAATGTAAGGTAGTATGAAGTTGACTGATTTAGGTCGACACTGTACTACAGAAATATCGAACACTCTCCTTTCCTTAGTGACAGATGACATGACAACAATTTCACCTGGATTTTTATAGAGGACGTTTGACCCGGCTGTTATCTGCTGGCATACAAACACTATGTCAGTGCTGTATTTAACATCATATCTGAACTTCTCGGAAACAAAAACGACCTTTTATCCGGAACCTTTTTTCGTTCCTACTTAATAACGAAATGATTTCTCGCACACTTGAGAAAGAGATAATAAGCGGGAAATTGTATCTGAACACGTACAGCCTAATTTTTATATAACTGTTTGCAATTCAAACCTTCAAGTGTTTTATGTTCACGACATCTAAACTTTAAACGTTCCAATTTACAACAATAGATACACTTCAACCTGACATATGTCATCCTTAGGTCGAGTCATTTAATCTCATATGTGTTTAAATATTTCATCAGTTCACAGATAACCATTTAAAGTATTTTTTAATTTTAGCTTTACAATAACATATTCTTGAAGTTCTTGCTATACATATATATACATGTATATCGATATATTTTTTATGGGGGGAGGGGGAGTTGAGTTGGTTTTAATTTTGGGCTACGGTACTACATGTACTAATATCCCTCCTTTATCTTCCAACATTCCTTTNACTGGTGTAAACGTAAAATGTTCCACACGTAAGGGAATCGTCTAAAAATGTACATATCTACCACAATGAAAGATGAACTTAATCGAATTGTCAAGTCACAACGTAGAAACTTGAAATTCTGCAAACTGTCTTGTTAAAATATTAGTAAGAATTAAACATTTCAGACAATTTGAAGGTTGGCAATGCTAAAAACTAGTCAGCTTGTGTATACATATTATGTTTACCTATCAGTACCACACGTCAGGGTCAGGTAAGAATACCGCCATGATAGTTGTGCGGAGACCATATAAAAACACCATTGACTATCCCGTTTGATATCCAGACAAGTAGAATCTCAACACAGCAAAGCAAACATAGTGATATGAAGTGCCTGGTCCTAATTCTCCTGTTTCCTTTAACGTAAACGATCGCCAATCGTCTCTATAGTTCAACACATTATGACATGTTTGGACAAAGTAAACTTCCTATGAAGAATTATTGACCCAAGAAATGCTGGGATAAAATAGCCGTATAAGGTTTCAAAAGATTGATGCTTTTTCCCCATATTTGATGTATAACAGGTCGTGTTGTAAAATATTTCTTCCTCTCAATGTCTAACACTGTCGTACCTTGGGTTAATGCCCACGAATATGTCTATACGTGAAACTAAAAAACACGATGTCTTGTCTGATTTTGAATAAGAAACCCGATAAAGGTGTGATGATCTCATTATAAATCAGGACACGGGGTCGGTTGTTCAAAGTATGATCAACCTTACGATTCATAATTTGAAATTTTCAAAATAAAGTTTTGATTTTGATTTTGAAATTTCAGTAATATTTTGTATGTTTATTTTTTATCAAATGATGGTTTTTAGGCGATCTATTTATCAAGTGTTTTTAGTTTCTTAATTTCAACATAAGAAATGTAAAAAGGGTTAAAACTTAAAGTTAATCTTTTGCAAGATGGTCAGGCTTGGAGAAACTCGAACTGATGATGTTTTAAAAGTGGTAAGCTTAACAGCTGGGATATCTTAATTATTTAATGATATTCATAAATGGTTTATATCAATTATTTAAAACACTCAATGTAAATTTCTTCTTTAACCGAGAACAAATCTATAGCTCTATATCACATTTGACAGGAATATAAAGTGACATATACAATAAATACATAAGTGCTTTTTGAGGGTTTTTTCATGTTTAAATAATTGGGTCGTATATACAAGACATGACATGTGACGGTCAAACCTGTTATGGTAATGTCCTTAAATTTATGTTGACACCCTGTTTATATGACATATATATTATAATCCAGTGCTGTATTACATAGAACGCCTAATAAAGGGACATAAGCTAAAAATATTTACAAGGACATACACACCACATTTGAGTGAGTTGAGATTGATACCAAACAACATGATCAGTTTGCGAAATGAAACCTTTTGAAATTACTTTCGACAAGTGAGCAAAGGTTATCAACCTAGTGATATATACTGTCTTAATTTGACCTAGAAATTGACATTGAATCTAGCTTATTAACTTAGGGTTCATCCGTTGTAGTTGTTGGTCTTCTGGGACATATCGTATCAGCTACTGTTATCCCATATGAAGATATCCACTATGAAATAAAATCGTTTGACTAAAACATAGCACCTGGTTTGAAACATTGGAATTGTATCGTTTGTTTCAATTCATTTGTATTTCTGTTATTAAATGTACTTAAAAACTTATGTAATATAATGTCATTTAATATCACATTTAATCCATTTTCAGACCACTTTTCCCCCTAAATGACTAACCGTGACCCTTTCAATACTGTTTACAAAACTTGCTAGACTCAATCGATAACAGCAATGACAACCTAGTAATACACAAATCAAGGGCGTGGTCTTTTACATACTAGACCCACTTTCTACTTACTAAACAATTTAAAACTACTTCCCAAACATCATATGCATCACATTTCTATATATGTTTCAAATGTGATGTTATTATATTACAATGAATGCATTAGAAAGTTGATGTCATTACGAGTTTGACGTTGAAATTATAACGATTAGGTGTATTGTTTAAATGCTTCCTCTAGAAACTGTATCGTTTCATTGTTTTTGTTTTGTTAGAGAGTTATAATATGTAAAAATATACAATAGACAATTTCTTAAACTTTTCCAGAGGTTTATATCATTGTGACGTCATCTTGTCATGTTTCAGATGGACGACATCTTGTCATGTTTCAGATGGACGTCATCTTGTCATGTTTCAGATGGACGTCATCTTGTCATGTTTCAGATGGACGTCATCTTGTCATGTTTCAGATGGACGACATCTTGTCATGTTTCAGATGGACGTCATCTTGTCATGTTTCAGATGGACGTCATCTTGTCATGTTTCAGATGGACGTCATCTTGTCATGTTTCAGATGGACGTCATCTTGTCATGTTTCAGATGGACGTCATCTTGTCATGTTTCAGATGGACGTCATCTTGTCATGTTTCAGATGGACGACATCTTGTCATGTTTCAGATGGACGTCATCTTGTCATGTTTCAGATGGACGTTATCTTGCCATGTTTCAGATGGACGTCATCTTGTCATGTTTCAGATGGACGACATCTTGTCATGTTTCAGATGGACGTCATCTTGTCATGTTTCAGATGGACGTCATCTTGTCTTGTTTCAGATGGACCACATCTTGTCATATTTCAGATGGACGACATCTTGTCATGTTTCAATTCAAAATTCGATATTGGAATTCATGTGAAAACGTTTCATTTTGTGAATAAGATATGATCACTAGAACAAATAAACCAAATATATATATATATAATCACCAAAACAACTGGGTGGAAACGTTTTCTAATAATGCTTTTTCATCATCGAAATCACTTTTTCCGAATCAATTTATCAGTTTTTTTCGCTATTCATGCCAAAGATTACTTGCGTCTACATTCCCATTAAGATGAGGAAAATATCAAACGTTGACCTGCGTTTGATCTTCTACTAAACCTGTCTGTGGGAATGTTCACCCTTTTCAGTGTTACACACTATTCTCTTTCCTACCTATTCGACGGTTCGCTTGGCTAATCGTTGACAAAAGATAAAAAAAGATATGAGCCTCTTTTAAATGCCTAGATTGATAATGAGATAATTATAGATTAATCCCTGATAGGTGAACAAATATTGTTAAAATGCTAGCCAGATGGTTGAGTATTGACATTTCTGGGTTGATGCTAAGATAATTAATAGCAGATAGACAGGCTATTGAACACTTGGTCAGTAAAATAAACATTAGTGTTACTACAAATTCAAGGTCAATTTCAAAGGTACAGATGTACCTTTAATCAACAATTTTAAAAATGTCACACTTTGTATAAACTCGTATGCTGTTTGTATGTGTTAAAACAACGCATGCACCTTTATAATCTATTCAGAATAAATAGTAATATAAACTTGTAGAGCGTAGCATGGCAGATTACTGCAAGAGTCTTTATTTAAGCGGACACAATTTTAGCCTATTATCGAATTTTAACAGATTACCGCAATCATGAATTGGAGCACTCACAATTGCAATATGCAATTGAAAACTATAAACAAACTTTAGCGCAATATTTAGGCGCGAAAAGCGTCAGAATTAGAAGAACAGCTAAACTCATTCACCCCTGAAATTGCATAATGAACTATTTCAGCCTTTGAATAGGAAGAGTTTAAATGTGTTTTCATGGTGAATGAATGTATAGTTACATGTAATCTTGGTGACATTTGATTCTATAGATAGGTATACAGTGAGGAAACTCCTTTCATCACGGTTGTCGACTACGCAGTGTTGTTATTTCTATATTACGGACAAAATAAAGCCGAAATCAAATCTAGTCTGAGGTAAATAATAACAAGTGTTTCTTGTAGGACTTCCTAAAGCCAGGCACTGAATCAATTTTTTTTTAAATCCTTCATTAAATGATAAATTTGACAATTAATAATACCTCAAGCGAAGAATATCCCAAACAAAATGTGTAAAGAAAACAAGATAGGCTGGTTTGCCTTTCCCGGATGCAAGGTAAGAAAATGTAGCGCCATGTCCATTGACATCAGCGATGTATGAAGATAAATTTTAAGATATCAAACACAAACCCAGAATAATAAAGAACATTACATGAATATATATTCACTTCGACAGAATATCATACAATGCAAATTAAGTAGATTTAAATAACTTACGTGGCTGCGGAGGGGGATCTTGCACTGAAAAAAGAATGTGGAGATACATGTAAACAAATTGCTACAATAAATGTACTACTGTTTTATTTACATTACACACATAATCATGACATATTTATCAACCACTCATGCCTGTCCTCCAAAAAAGGTAACACACATTTAATACATAATTCGGTAATATCTTCATATGATATTCTTCAGAACAATACATCCAGCCCACACATCGTTACTTTATAAGAAATGTAACATTTGTTAGCGACTTTTTACTTTTTTCTTTTTTTACTTGGACGACACAATTTTATCAAAAAGTATACATTAAATAAATAAAACATTCCATTTGGATAACATGAATGTAAGGTAATGAATCATTGATAGATGATATTTAAATGCTATAATATGAGAGTAAATGATTATGTTCCAGCACAAAAATAATTAAAGCAAAAATATAACATGATCTTCAGATATTGTAATAGTTAAAAAAGTGATAGAGAGAGTAAAGGGAATAAGGCAAAAATGAAAGCATTCTTTTTCAAAAGGGCAAAAGTTTGAAAGAATATTGTGTTTACATTGAACCCTGTCGTATGAAAGGTCTTATTCTAGTAGGTATTCTACAAACTGATTGGATCGAAAGAAAATCAAAGAAAAAACGTTTTACATTTTTTGTTTTTAATTTTATCGATAACGGAAGTTCAACTGTTTGTTGAATAAGACATGATATCAGAATTCTATGGTGTCTGATTAGACAGGTTCGATAATTCAAAATATTTGGGGTGATTTGTTACGTACAGAAATTTGTCTTCTGAACATTTATGATGCTATGAAAGCCAGTTGAGTAAAAAAATATTTCAAAATGTGCGTTAGTAATATTTAGGGTACGTTAGAGGCTGCAAACTGGTAATGTCAATACAATGAAGCCAAACGTTGCTTCAAATTTTTCTAAAAGCATTCATTCTTTGTTCATTGCATATGTAGTAACACATTTACACTGTGTGTGTGTGTCAGCTACAAATGGAAAGCTTCCTTTCAAGCTTTGTTAGTGTTATAATCAATTAAGCATCGCAAAATAAGCAAGTTTGTAAAGTGATTGCTAATCCAGGACAAGCAACAACTAGGTATTTGCCACGTTCTAAGCCATGTTTTTTGTCGATGTTACATTTATTATTTTTATTGGATTCATAACGGCCCATCAACACAAAAAAACAGTTTTTTTCGGACCAATAAAAAGTAAATAAAACACGTGAAAGGATATATCATCAAATGACTAAACGGTAAACTTGAAAGGTAAAAGTGGCTACGTGTAAAACTGGTTAAATATTAGAGAACACCCATGAATCGAAATACCTTTTTCATTTTCGTTACATTTATTTTGATGAAGTAGAATTTCTACCGTTAAAATTTCTTTAAATAGGAAGAAATACAAAGCCGTTTCAGAAGTAATTAATCTTTGCTGCTAGTTATGGGGATGTTTATTCTTGAATAAGGTACACAGACACTTTAGAATGCTTGCGATAGACCAAGTGTATGTGTTTGTTCTTAATTGAAATAGGGTAGAGTTTGATACTTTTAGCTCGGACAATGGTCAACACGTTACTGACCTGAATACAGGACTTATTCTCGATGGTCATTGAAACTGTTTGACAAGTGTTTGCAAGTTGGTGTTGTTTTATTTGCATTGAATTTATGTGACCACGTTGTAATGTTCATACACCTTGTTTACTTTTCAGTAATAACGATAAACAAATATGAAATATTTTCTATTGACCTCGCCATGCCGGTATGTTTCCTAATAATTCTGCTTAAACCATTCTTGTTTACATTTATACCACTTACAAAATTCGAGTTCAATACTAATGTCGGTTAAGAACACTATGTTTACTTTTAAAAGGACAAAGTGTTGTCATAGGGAATTAGTTTTAATAAGATATAAGTTGTTTGAAAGGACTAAAACTCAATGTTGTAAATCTCCACCAGCTTAACGGTGTATCAACGGAAATCCATATTTTTAAATGTTGCCGAAAATATGTTTATTTTGAGTTTATACTCTAAAATGGATTATTTGAAATTCAAAATCTTGCATATTTGGTTTTTTAGTTTCTTAAGTATGCAAATATCACTAATCATTTTCCCTGTGTAAGTGAACAGAAATAGCTTGATTCACATGTACTTCTTACATCTGAATATTGATACACCCGTTCGCATATCCACTAACATACCCACTAACATAACCACGTTCGTAGTTAATTTGGATAAGATATAGCACTCGAATGTACATTAAGGTGAACGACGGGTCAGTTTTATGTTGAAAAATACTTCAGTTTTAAAGTGGACAATGGTAAAAAAAAAAAAGGATTTAAGTGTAAATTGGTAGACGTACTTGTGTATTTACGTGAACAATGGTAAAAAAACACTTCAGGTTTTAGATGAAACAACTCTTCACTTTAAACAACTTGCTGTTGCCAGCGGCAGGGTTAAGGTAAGACGAAAGTACGTTATAGGTTCGCAAAACTTGCCTTAAACTTGTATTGATACGAACACCTACACGAGAACCTTCACGCTTTATTAAGAAACATTTCATCTAGAAACGATCTGTCTATATCTTAGAACTAAAATAAGGAACCAACATACGTTTTTTCATAAAACCGATAAACGAATAAAACCTATGTTACATTTCTTTTGAATATTATTCCTCAATTTCCTTCGTTTTCAGAATCGTAGACTAGAAAACCAACAGGAAAGATATATATATAGTTTAACAATTTACGTTTCACATTGAAGTTGAAACAAAGTAGACGACTAAGCATTATGGTGAATGTGACACTTTCCATGACATTTCCGTGACGTTAGGTTCATTCTGATATCATTAAGATTATTAGGAACAAAATCCTGCCTCTTATAAGCAATAGAGGTATATCTCAAGTCCCAAAGATCGTATTATTTTTCTACCACGGGTAAATTAGAAAAAGAATGAAGAGATTTGAAAGAATGAGATATGTTTTCAGAACAAGTGTAGATATCTTTTTTCTTTCTATGTCTGTAAACAGTTTTATGTGAATACAAAACGTCAGTTAAAAGGTGGCAAATACGCAGACTGTGCAAAACATACCAAAGTCGTAAATTTAAAGGCGAAAACATGAATTCCGAAAGTAAGCGTTTCCATTTCAAAAGGTAAAATCTGACATGACGTCGTTCATCAGATCCAGGAATGTTTGTTAAAATATCAATCCCCAAATGTTGTGTCCCTCTGTTAAAAGTGGCGCAGAAAAATGTTTCGACCACTTACATGTATTCTTTTCAAAACACGTATGTCAGGGTCTATTTTGGGCTCATTGACAGAGAAGAAGGAATGTATCTCCTGTGTACAATACTGTCAGATACGTTTTGCCAGGTGGTTCCCCGAGGTTAGGCCATTCTTAGTGACATCTTCTCTTATTATGACACAGGAGGTGGAGTAGGTCATGATATAGTGAAATTGCGTCTTTGATACAGAGGTTGAGTAGATGACTTAGCCTATTTCAATGAAATAGTTCAGATGCCTCAGACACACCTGTGCCACGAACACTTAAATCAGGACACATAGAGAAACGAATCTAGGACCTCCAGAAATGCTCCCTCTTAGCAAATTTTGTTATACTACAAATCAACAGGTGTGCCTCAATATGGACCTAACATGGATTTCCAACAAATATAATTTAATTAGGAAGACATAAATAAAAAAATAATATGATAATACATATAAGAAATGACAATTTAATATTTAAATGTTAAAGTTCATGCAAATCTGTCTCACCGAAATCGTGTTAACGTTATACAAGGGACAATATCTATTTTATTAGAAATTCACAAATTGAAACTCGTATTTAGGGATTTTTAAATACTTTTTTTTTTACAGCCGCGTGAAATGATGATTGATTGGCGTAACATAAATAGCAAAAGAAAAGGTCAAATGCATTTATATGTACAAGACAGTTGATAATCTACATATATTAATGTAGATAGGATGTATGACAATTGCACATCAAGTTCGTTTTATTTTAAAACAAACTTTTGACATATTGGTAAATTTAGTTTTGCTCTTACTGAGCACAAGAGTAACAATTTGACTTCTCGGTGTGAGCATTTTCGTCAATGAAGTTATATGAAAGACAAAAAATGTGTTTATCTGTGATTTTTTTGTCTGTTTGGAATCTCACCATCCTTAAATAACCACAGCTGTTGATAGGACGTAAAACAAAAAACCAAACCAAACGAAACCAAACCTTGGTTCAAAGATGTTTTTGGATTTAATAGAAACGTCGAGAAACGATATTTCTGATTGTAGTTGATATTTGTTTATATAACTCTCGTTAGTTCTCTGAATAGTTAATTAAAACATATCACATACGTCAGCAACGAGCTATGGGAATATCTTTGGACTGAAGATAATGATATCAATGAAATTATGATGTTAAATTCATAACAATAGATAAAACAGATTAAAATGTTTTTTGTCGTTTTATTTATTAAAGATCTACCTACAATCTGTCAAAAACACTGCCGAACATAAATTAAAGTATACTGTAAATTGTACCTATAGATATTGCCCTAAAATTGTGAATAGGAATGCAGACAGATATTCATTACGCACTTTAATCGTCTGCTATTCTGAATAATATACAGTTATACTCCTCAAGTGTCTTTTGAAAAACTTTGTTGTATAAAAATAACTAACAGATAATCATCCTTTGATGGTATCTTTATGTATTGTACTTGCCTCCTCGCATACAATGTATCTGCTTTTAAATCACACCATTAACCCTCGATATACCGCTTACCGCCAAAATATTTCAAGGTTCCTTTTTTCGTAAGGAATCCTTTCATATATTTCCCTTCATTTTTCGCCAAGATCCTTTGAGAAACTAAACTCTGTACCAACAGAGGCAGTATAAAGAGGCCTTCCTATATTTTTATTCAAACCTGTATCAAGAGACCACCATTGGGGAATTCATGAATGTTGACGCTTTATACAGGTGGTCTTTCAATACAGGTATCATTTCCACTGAATTCACTAAAATGAGAAACGGTGAAAATTGTGTCTTAACCAAGGTGGTAGCTAAACGGAGTTGGCCGCATGAGCTGGTATGACTATGTATATATAAATATATATAAATATTATAAAAAGAAAAATTCTCAACAACGAGTCTTGAGTACTTTCATCTCTTCTAGGAGATTCTTCAGACTCTATATATATATATATATAGTGAGACGATTGGAAGCAGGGATTATCTAAAAGCCGCACGGGCACTCCAACCCCATATGACTGATCTAAAATGCTCGTTATAATCAAAATAACAGGATAAAAATGCCACGCACATTAAAATACAATCGGTGTATGATGATAATTGTATTCAGCTTTTAAAACAAAATAAATGCCGGGGATTTGGCATTTTCGTGTCAATCTGATTGGAAATACCTTTATGCGAACATGTCCTGACATTCGGCTCTGTGCCAGTCAAGGTGAAAAGTGGCAAACATTATACGAAATCATATTGATGTTATTCCTTTTTATTTGTTTCTTGTTCTATATAGTTTTAGTTGTATCTTCTCTGACATTTGTTTTCAAATCGTGTGTCTAATATACTCTGCCTAACAGTATTTCAATCAGATTGATCCGATCACTAAAATAACATTGCTAAATACGAAAGCTGTTTTAACGAAGTGAACGCTTACGTTCTTCCCAACTTGGCACTGGAAAAATATCACATATAACATATGACAAAAACAGCATTGGATATAATCACAAATATCATTCGGGTAATTAGAATCCTTGCAACGACATAGCAGAGTAATGTATGTCAATAAAACTGACCAGTAAAACGCCCCTGATTGGATAACGGGCATCTCTCAGTGATCCGATGCAGTAAAATAATTTATACATTTATACATTTATATAGAATATGTAAAGATAATGATATCATACGCACACTATATTTATATATAGACGTCAGTGCTTTATACAAGATGGGCGGGAATACATAGGAAGTTAGTTTTAAAGTTAGGCAGTTGTTTTGTCAATAGATCGGAATCATGCATTTTTTTGTCAAGTAATATTTTGAAGTTTTTGTGAAAAAAAATGTTCGTAGTATTGATTGTGTGGCTTAGAGATAGTAGGGAAAATATCGACTCTTAAATTAAAAGGTTTTTTTTACAGAAATAAATACTCAAAAAAAGTTCTGCCTCGAAAAATAACACATACACAACATTCATTATACCGTGCACATTAAATTTTAATGGATACATAACCTAAGGAATATCTCCATGTATTAAGCATCCGTCATTTAAGTGACACCTTATGATTCATGGTGTATTTTTATTAATTAGAACTCTTCATTTATTGTTTCATTAAATATGCAATGGTACACAAACATATTAAAATTGGGAAATTAATACACTCAAACTAAAACATACTATTATAGGTAAATTGTTAAATTTATTAGAAAATAATTAATACCAGATGAGTAAAATTTCTTAATTTCCTTAGTAACGACATAGATCCTTATAAGAAATTGTCATGATGTAGTCAATCGGTATAATGTTGTTCACTAAATGTCAATTACAAAGAAAACTAAAACAGGGACCTGATATAACATTTAAAAATCAAAATTCCTATATTTAATTTTTGTAATTTGTTATAATGTAATCATTAATATTATTATTTCAAATGGTTATTCCTTTTTATAACCTACAAAGAAAGAATATAGATTAGATTGTTAAGATACATGTATATAAAAATAAGTATATACTGTATAAATTAATATGTAAAGTATATTAACTCACCTTCACAAGCCCTGTAAGCAACCATTTCAGTCAGAGCTCGCGTATTCAGTTTGTTGAAATTATCCACCTGAAGGTAATACTTCTCTTCCGGTTTACTTGCAATACCCATAAGTTCACTTGGGTCAATATGCGGTCCTACCCCTATCGAGAACACGTGACAGCCCATAACTTTTAACTCCTCAGCCTCCCCGAGGGTAAGGGCTTTCCCCACCTCTTTCGTATACGGATCAACCCTCCCGGGGTTCGTGCCACCATCTGTCACTACAATGACGACATTGGGTACCCCCGGGCGGTCCCCGAACCCTGGGTTGAACACGCCTCGCCTTGTCTGGTTTAACGCCCTATACGTCACTGTTGCTGGACCAGCGGCATATAGAATTCTTGACACTGCACTTAAGATATCGTTTTCATTTGAATACTGATTAAAGTTAAACTCGGTCTTAACAACATTGCTAAAAGAAACGATGGCGACCCGCGTTTTGTCTATACCAAGCTCAAACTCTTTTAGTACTTCCCTCACAAATCTGAGTTCTTTGTTGAATTCAGGTTCCCCAATACTTCGCGAAGAGTCTATTACAAAAGCTAAGTCGGCTATGTTTCCACAAACTAAAAACAAAAGAAAAAAAAAATCATCACCAGAAAAGTTCTGTTTCTCCATCATTTCCGTAGCAAAAATTAACCAATTATTAACATGAATTGCTACGGCATTGCTATACTAGTCAGTAAAGTGAGTAAGTTAATAAGAATATGCCACACACCCATCCATCCCCATCTGTTGACCGTATCACATCCATCGTTTTGGAAATATCTCATATATACAATAATGTAAATACTAAATAAAGATAATCCACTTTCTCGGATACCAAGATAATCTGCCAAAATTATCTTTGATAATGTATTGAATATATACTAGTAAAAATAATATTTCTAACCATTAAACTTCATATAGTGGAATCTCGTTAGTCTGTATCCATTTTAACAAACTTCATAATTTTAATGAAAGGTTGAATTAAGTTTTCAAATTAATTTTAAAAACTTTATAATAGATCAAGAAATATGAATTTGTTGAGTATATAATATCTGAAAATTATAACATTATATATCCCCGAACATTATTTTCGGGTTTAATAATCCGGATATTATTAATTGTTTGATTTTTGTATTACTGTGTCAGTATGCAAATGATGTTGGATGCAACTGAGTCATGTGCGCAGTTTTCAAAGGTCATATCAGCTTGACAACAACCTGACATTAATATTTTCTTTAGCACATTTTCAAAAAATATTGAAATTAATGAAATATTAAAAACATCGGGGAAAAAAAATAATAATGAAAAACAACAATGAAAATATACATATATATGTAAATTTACTTATAAATGTAAAACTTCAAAATTGTATTACTTCAAAAATGAAAAAATTGCTTTAATACTCATTAAGCTAACTAGCCTTTAAAACATGGCCGTAGATTACAATATTTAATATATTTGACGTTCTATGGTAAAATTTGGGAGTTTACGATTAATTCTACAAATCAGCACAGTGGTCGAATAATATTTTGTCACTGCAATGTTGACGAAAATATAATACTAGTACAGATTAAAGTTTTCTCACCTTCCACAGTTTAAGGTCAGCGGATGAATTTTCAAAATACGGTTACCTTTACAAGTCTTTAATTCACATTTTCGTACAACTACGTTTTATATTGGTTTTTTTTAATTCTTTTATCATTATTATTGTTTTATGTCTTAAAATGACAGCTTTAACTTTAATTCATTCTTTGCAGTTTTGTAAGACCGCAGCATGATGGTATGCATCAATGAATCATCTAAGAAAACGAATCCTAGACAAAAACACATACGAGGTTCCACTATAATAATAATTCAAGCAGACATTTCATTTGGGAATCAAGGCATTCAGATACGCTGCATTACATATTAAGTGAAGCTTGGAACACAGGAATCCGCCGGGAGCTATATTAGAATTGAGAAGGGTGTTAGAGGTGAAGAGGTAGGGATGGATATTTTCATAGCATATTTGGCCATTTGTGCGAATGTATATCAAATAATATCATAAGATTACACAAGTTTACAACATCTAAACACTAATGCTTTAAACTTGTCCATGACTTAATATATATATATTATAAGCTGTATTTGTATTATATAAACATCTTTTTTTTCTTTTCTTTTTCTAATTTCAAAGAAACAAAATTGAATGATAGATACAGCGATATTTTCTTTTCAAGTAAAAAAAACACCAATCAGTCAAAGTGAAAATTATCATATCAAAAAGTACATACCACGATTCCTCCTTATGACAGAGTCGTCTTGGCGTTTGACTCGAGGTAGTGCTATAAGTAAAAAAAAACAGACATGAATGAGATAACTTAATGACGTTTTTAGGTTTGTGAACTGTTGTTGTTCGTACGAGGCTACTGATGCAGGAGCCCTTGTAGAGTCAATGCTTTCTTCGATCTCTTTCTTTGAAGGGCGTGAAACAAAAACAAAATACGCAGCACTAATTTAAATACTTGGGATATCTACATCACTTTTATTCTTATTGAAATCCATATAACCTCCCGGCATATTTAGCATCATGATCATCTATTCATTCGAAAACCTGTAAATATGTTTGACCTTATTGTGTTGATGGTCTTTGAGAAACCCATAGACCGTCAATTCCTAAATGTATTTGTTTTTTCTCTTGTATTATTTAGAGAGTCTTGACTTACAAAGTGTTGATCGTTTACTTTATAGATTCAGTTAACTTAGTGTTTAATCCGAGCGTTCTAAGATAATAACATTCACAACTTTTGTTTTAGAAACAATAGCAATGGTGATATCAGCATATCGATTATTCTTATTTACCGGAATCATGAATATTATTGCATCCAATACATGAAATCGTATTCACATAAAACGTGGAAATGAGCGATCGAAAGTTCGTATTTACCAGAAACATGAATATGAATGCAGCAAATATTCGTCTTTCATGTGAACGTGAATGTTTGTGTATCAAATATTTCATATTTACCGGAAACGTTGATATTATTTTATCTAATATTTCTTTGGAATATTCTTGGTGACTGGCATTGTCAATGCCAACATATCAAATATGGCATATTTAAGTATCACAGGCAACTGATGTCAGAGATTTTTAGATATTAAATTGAGGATAACAATATAAACCAACTTGCATATATTTTATATAAAAATTGTATAATTGTTCTATAAATCCGTATATATTTTAACATAATTATCATGTTATGGGTCATAACTAGTTCAGAAATTAGCAGAACAGAATTATCTGAACGCTAAAATAATGTGAAACCATTACGAAAACATTTTCTGACGGAAAGTTAATTTTGTGTTAAGTCTACTTTGTCAATAGTTTAAAGTTTATTCAACTTCATTACAACATAAAATGTCCGTCCATCCAAAGATGGTCAGACTTATTAAGTGGAAATTAAAACAGTATATCCATCGTTATTTAAATGAAATATAAATAGTGTCGAACAAAGGAATAAGTAGAAATTTAAACTGAAGCTATTAGTATTAAGCTGACAACAATTCATCTTGGTTCTTGTTCACGCGTGGTGGATATGTATATCTGTATAAATACCTAAACGTGCAATAAAACTGATTCATTTACAAACAAATTGCGTACCCAGAAGTAAACATGCACATATTTTTGTCTAGACATGAGAACGTGGATTTAACTGCCAGTTCTCATTTCTAATAACCATAATTAGTCGATAGCTCCTTCCTCCTACAAACAATCCGCTCTATATCGACGTTATATGTGGAGTGTGAACATGTTGTGTTTATTATACTTTCTTGGTAATTGGACAATTGATGTTTAAGAATGTCGATTTTTCAAATATTTGTGGTCGATAGTCGCGCATACGACTGACTTACTCTACAGACATTTTCATATTATCTCAGTATAACGCGGACATTACTATCAGCAACGAAGATAGCTAGCTTATTCAAATCTTCTAAAATGATACTTCACGTGATTGTGTTCGATAATGATTTGTTTGATGTCGTGCCATATACAAATAGATTTTTAAGACGCCTGTTAAAAGTGTACATGCTTCTAGTTAAACAGTTCACATCCGTGTGAGAACGTCTGTGATAGGTGCACAGATACTCCAGCTCGACTAAACGTGTATTAAAACGCAGTTCGAAAGATTTAGATGAATTTTGTGTCGAGTTTTTGTAGTCACTTGGTTTGAATCATTCCTTTTATCGACCGTTAAATGGAGACTAAATTTTAAAAATCACATGTTTTTGTCAACAATGACGGATGACTGCGCATGTGCATCAAACGAACGCATTAGTTTATATATATATGCTCTTGTAGATCATGTCTAGACCATGGATTCAAATCTTACCAGCGTCAACAGACGATTTAATGAATATAACATGACATAATACTCAGTCTGACATCAAAATGAGAACGTTTCAGATTTGTAAATGTTAAACGTCTATTGTGAGTCCTGAGAGCCGATAAACTGTGACACAGTCACCGTCAATGGTTGCTTGACAGAAAATTAAACCGCTTTCGAATGTCATCCAAAAAAAATATTATGAAATTGAATATGATTATATTTCAGTGTGAGGTCGACAGTATACTGTGGGTACATTTCGTTTCGGAATATCAATTTCATATGTTTATGTACTTGCGTATTTACCAGGTTTATAACGATAGCCTAATTATTCAAGATGACTCATCTTATACATTCTATTATTTAATATTTTGATTTCAAATGAAATGTTTTGATAATGACACATCCTCCACAATCCGTCAACAGAACAGATTATATAGTGTTGAACAATGTGAAATTGATAACCACTAGCATCGTATGGAGATAACACAGTATAAGAAAAGACACAAAAAACCATACAAAGATATATATTTCTCTCATTGCTGTGTGTGTAAGATAGAGCTGTCCAGGGTAAGAAAGGGATGTAGGAAATTTCCATCTAACACCCCATTTCACATGAAGTGACGTCTAAAGGCTCAACAATGACGTGACGTAACAGATTTGGAAAACACCGATGCTGCAATGCGGAAAAGGCAACATGATGAAATTAAAACCTTCAACGATATATTCACCGTACATGTTAGAAAGATGAGATTATTTCTTCTGCACAAACTCTGTTTGCAAATCTTGGGGTATTCTCAATCTCATTGACGAATTCGTTTTCATAGAAAAATACTCAGGGGAAAAATTGACATTTTCAAAATAGGAGCCAGTCCAACCGTATTTCCATGGTTTCTGATCTTAGTCTGGTAGTTGGGATGAGATAAAAATACTCGTTTATGCCCTAGGGTGTAGGATGGGGAAATTTCACCCGAAAGGTTTTCAAATTTGGTAAAACCCGAGGCTTTGAAAACCCCTCGGGTGGAATTTCCCTATCCTAAACTCCTGGACATGAAAGAGTATTATTACATAATGTACTGTGTTATCCAGTGAATATACCCATGTCATATTTGTTTGCGTATTAACTCGTGTAATATGACCTATCATCTCTTTGATTGGTTGTATGTTTCAACTGTTTTAATCGTGACGTCATGCCTAGGACAAGCACATGACGTCACAGACTTAGGTACTGGAGTCAAAATGTATTTTTTTACATTTCAAGGTTGCATGAAAATTGCCGTTTTAGACTCGATTCATAAATCTCATATAAAATGGAAACTCATGCAAGATTCCAATATATAGATAAAGCAATAATGAAAATAGATAAGTGTAACACGCACAAACACACATATACACACATAAGATTACGTTAATAATGTTATAATTTGGTTGGATCTGAGTTTGGCTACATGTATGTGTCAAGTGTCTGAAGATTGATAATGAAAGCGATATAAGGCTTTACAAATGCAGTGTTTCCGATATTCTTTTTTTATATATACATATTTATATATATTAGTGTGAATATAAATATATATTTCTGAAAAAGTCATACATCAATAATTAATCATCGATCCGGTATGATGAATGTATAGAACTGTGGACTGTTCTATATTTATCAGAGTAGTAGTTAATCTTGAGAGCGTAATGTAGAAGATGATGTAATAAGTTATACTTACCCAAACTCTTTCCTACCTGAAAAATAGAATATCAAACATAAGTATTATAGCTTGCACAACGAAATAGTTAGAAAATGAAAATCCATAACAAATTTAACAAAAAATGAGTGTGAACGTTCGTGGTACTTTTACGGTTGATATGGAACCACGAAAATAGATACAACGTATTTGCTTGATACTTGACTACTGTTTGTTGATATGGTTTTTGTTTTACAAAGAACATACCACGACATAATCTAAATGATTTAAAACCACAAAAGGAAATACCCACGGAAATTTAATATTATACACTTTTTGGTCTTGGTGTATAGCTTGGTAAAACCTTAGCAGAATTTAGTTTCCACAGGTAAAATATTTTATGAATACAATATTAAGACCACGATAAAAAAACAGCTCCATCTGGGTCATATATTCTACAGGGCAGTGTACCCAATCTCGAAACCAAGGTCAACAGTAGTTAAAGATCACTGACCCCCCGTATCGGGGAAATCTCTGTAGGAGATTGAATAAAGTAGGCTACAGACAATAACTGACCCCCTGTCGAGAACACCTAAGGCAGGACCTGATATACAAGTACAGGACAGGTAGGTAGCCAATATAAGGGCTATCTGTCACACAAATAAACTGATAGCAGAATAGTAGGCTTAATATCAGAATTACGTCTGTCACACCCCTACCCAGACATAATTCCTCTGTACACTACTCCACTATTTAACAGATACGGTGATAAATAGAGCGATTATGCAGTCAAATCTAGCAAAAAGGTACAAATATATCTTTTCAATGACAAACCATAAAAATGCCCACATACATATGTAAGATGTCTGTTAGAAACTTACAATCGTATTGACTGAAATATTTGTCCTGTAAGTTTCGTAAATCGTTTTATACTTGACGATTACTGGATTTTCTCATAAACAATTGATTAACTGTTTTATAAATAATTTAAAACGACAAAAAATCAGCAATAGAAGACGAATAAAAGTTCTGATATCTGACGCTGTGACAGAAATAAGGACCCTTTTGAAATCGCATAACAGCTAATATTGTAATTCTGTTGGGAAAGGTTTTCAGATAACACAGGTTCAATTTCTATATATACCTCAAACTCTAAGTACAGGCTCATGCGGACTGTAGAGAGCTGAGACGAGAAGTGTTAACTCCTTTACCCCCTACATATTTAAACTGGACTTGGCCAGTCTTCTATTTGGTAAGGTTGAAATGTAAATTTAGGAATGTATGGGTTAAAATGTATACATTAGATTATATTATAAGGGCTCATTACAAAGAGAATGTGAACAATTAATGATGTATGGAATTCGACAGTGACATGCTGCTCCTTCCCAAATGGACGAAATTGTCATATGTCGCAGAAAAAATGATTGCTTTATTTGTTTTCGGCTTTCCGCAGCAACTTACTGAAGTTTTAATTAACTTCCTTACTTTGCATTTTTAGAGTTTACTTCACTATGAAACCCCTGACACATATTTCTGTCACTGTTTACCTTAAAAACTAATTGAGAAAAAATTATTTACTGTAGCCAAAAAATGAATATTTTTATGTACAAAATGGTTTGACCAGCACCTTTCCCTTTTTCTGTATTTTTTAACATATTTTTCGGAACATTTTTGTACGTTAATTTTGTTTACCTTAGTGTCACTGATGAATCTTTAATTAGTAAATTTGTTTATGTTGCGATAAATATCTACTTTATTAGACTTTCTGCATACAAAAAATGGATTTTTATTAACTCCATATTTTTAAAGATGTTTTATGAGTGATCATTTGGCAGAAGGTGTTGATTAATTAACTCATTCACCCCTTAAGACGCATTTGAACTCTTCCAATTCAATGGTTGGAATAGTTCATTATGAAATTTCAGGGGTGAATGAGTTAATTAATTGATGGCAGAGATGATATTTGCATCGAACACACGTTTTAATATCGTTTATACAAAAACATCAGGAAAGGATAGCCCTATAAGGAATAATAGATTGATTGCATGTGTAGGATTGGGAATTTCCTGATGACATATGAGATATACGATAAATTTATGAGGGGGAACATTCCAATATAGTTCATTTAATGGTGGAGCACATGTTGCTATATGCACCAGACCGATATAATTTTATATATACGTTATAGACAAGATTACATAATATGTGAGGGAGACGCCTCTTTTCCCTCTGATAGCCTCGATGCTGCCATTATATCTTTATAATGACAGTTAAATGTTCAGTGTCGAAACGGTCAAAGGAAATGCATGGGTGGTATTTCACTCCTAACATTTCAATGATATACATGATCGACATACAGACATGCCAAACACTGTAATAGGGATTACCATATCACTTACCTAGAAATTATTCAATACATCACAGTAAGGGATACTAAATTATGTTAATACGTAAATATCATATCCAGCTGTTCAAATTTCTATATCTATTGAAATTAAATACTGAAATGTGATACACAGGGAAGATATTCATTTTGGATAAAAGATTATCGGATATGTGGGCCCTGTATAGAAACTGACATCAAAGCGGAAATTAAGATAACGTAATGCATTATGGATGTGCTAAATATACTGGCGAGACCTCGACTGGCTATAAGCACCAAACTTTTTGTAAAGGTTTTTCTTCAACGTTCCTATACTAGTTAATCTCTTTCTAATTTGAAACATTGGAGAAGATATTCAAGATATTGAAAGTATAATAAGTGCCGCCCATTTCTTATTGATACATTGACATGGTGTACATTGAAAAGTATCAAATGGCTCGAATTAATTTATTGACAGAAAACAAGATAAGTTATATTTTTCCTTTACAAAACTTTTAATAAGACCAAAATAACTAAAATAATATCATATTGCATTAAAAGAAGTACTACAAAGATGAAATTACAGATAGAAATTGAATCAGATTAGGGTTTTCATGACAAATGTTCAGTATTTACTGATAAAAGAACTATAATTGCTTCGTTTACATCTCATTTGTTTTTATATTTTGATTCGTAATCAACCCTGCTGCAAACACGTGCAAAACAATTAAGTGACATAATTCTATTTCACCATCACCATTACCATCAGTAGGCTGACCAAGACCTGAAATGTTTTGTACTTTAATTCACAATCAGTCTCAAAATTTGCGTCGTTGTGAAAACGGTACTAGAAAAGTAGACCAATGCACTACTCATCACAATGACAATATGATGACTCGACATGGTCTGAAAAGACAACTGGAACCGAACAACAACAAAACCAAAGGGCAAGCGTTTATTTCACAATTAAGTGACAGAATTCTATTTCACCATCACCATTACCATCAGTAGGCTGACCAAGACCTGAAATATTTTGTACTTTTGCTCACAATCAGTCTCAAAATTTGCGTCGTTGTGAAAACGATACTAGAAAAGCAGACTAATGCACAACTCATCACAATGACAATATGATGACTCGACATGGTCTGAAAAGACAACTGGAACCGAACAACAACAAAACCAAAGGGCAAGCGTTTATTTCACAATATGTAGCGTAAGGTTTGAAAGACAGCAAAGTATCTATTCATGTCCTAATTCTTCGCAGACACTGAAACTCTATATTTTGATACTGGGGCCCGTATTCATAAAACCCGTTCTTATGCTCAAGCATGGATTTTGAGCAAAAACTAATTTTCTTATAACTCACTTAAATCTTGTCAAAACGATCAAAATGTCAAGCCTAATCGTTAAACACTATTTGGCTTTTAAGTCTTCTGATTTTTTTGTTCATTCCCAATCGTTGACAAAATACACTTTGTGTTGATAATTTATTAACGAAACAAAAAATTAGGCCTCAGCACAAAATCCATGCTTGATCAGGAGAACGTTTTCATGAATACGGGCACAGGTCGTTATGACAAATATAAACACCTTAAGTGTATTTTCATTAAACAGTAGGCCCATCTATGAAGAACAAAATTGCCTCTACGTGTGCGTTAACACAGCTTAGTTATAGAAAATAATGTCAATCAACAGCTTCGATGCAGATCAGAAAATTGATTTAGCCTAAATAGAAAGTCAGAAAAACATTGTGACACAAATTCAATACATTTCTTTGGCAGAATCGAAGAACAAAATAAAAACAATCGGCCAATTACAGTCAAAAAGCGTGAATTCATCTTAAATGTGTCATAATGAATTGATGACTAATACATTGTATCATAAAGGAAAATGATGATATTTTTTTTTTATTAACGTGGGTGGAATTCACAATGAAATAGCATGGATTTCCCGCTCATTAAACACATGAATTACAGTAACTATCATGTGAGTCGCGGAGTCAGTTTTTACCAGTTTATCTTGTATATAGAGTGACTTTATAACCACATATATATCCTCTTAGAGGTAAAGATGCAAAATGTCGGTAATCGTTTTTAGGTTAATTTCTGACTTGGAATTACACGGAAGATCGATCAGCTATCACTAACCTGAAAACTGAACAAGTTTCTTTCATTTCAAGCTTAATTAGTTTAATAGTATACTTTGAATCTCATAAATTTTCAAAATTATAAAAGTTGAAAATAAAATGTTCATATCTTTGTAAGCATTAGAATCTCTCGAGTTAATATATTATAAAAAACCCACTTATATTTACAAACTTAAAGTAAAATAAAAAGAATTATTTTTGGAATTAACTACGGTTAAGCTAACAAATCTTCATATTAATTTTAAAGTTGCGTACAGGAAACAGTGCAGACAATGTTGCTCTGTGCGTGAAGGTCAAATTGAAGGTCATCGTCAACAATTGTGTACAAATGTCAACACAGAGTCCCCGCGATGTACTGCCCGTAACGCAATGCACCGAAATACGTGACAGAAAACGCTGACAGTGTTCTCACGGTAAATAAACAATCGATTCCCAAATTGAATGTCAGCTATAGTTTTGATTGAGCTCGTGTCACGATGGGCTAAGCCCCGCCACTATCGTCGTGCAATCTGTCTGCTTAAAATACTATAAATAATTTATTTTCCGTGAT